AAGTATAGATATTAATCATAAATACAGAGTAATAATGACATAATTTATTCGCTAATTGCTCATGAAAATAAAATAAGGTTGCCAACTTTTCCGAGCACTAATTAAAGGATTTAGAACCAAATACTTCGATGCACTACTACACGGTTTCAATTTAAAAAAACTCACAAAATAAGGTTTACGCTTGGGATAATATTGAACCACGAACAATATTTGCAATTGTTATAAGCTCAGCTTTGCTACCAACTTTGTTTATGTTGATACTCCATGGCAGCGGTGTGCAGTCGTGCTACATGAGTTACCACTTCCCTAACTTTTAGTCCGTAATCCCTAAGCGTTCGTGAAGTTAATCTGTCGATAAATTGTTATCACTACAGTTACTCTGTGTAGTGTCTTTGATATCGTGCACAGGCAAAAATTCCACTGTACTTTCCAATTGCTTCAATTTGTTCCTTGGGCCACAAGTACCCGCTGAATATGCTGCAGTTTTGACCCTCAGCGGTCATGTTCACTGCAGCCTGAAATAAGCGTCGATCGAACCGCACAGCAAATAAATCTTCTAACGAACAATTTTGCTATACAAATCAACTTCCTTAGTAATATTTCAATTTGTCTTCTTTTGAGATTGAGATTCTTCTGATTGATTTCGCGAGCAGGTAGCATTCAGGGTGAGGGCATTGCGGGATGTTTAAAAAATGTTTTGATCAACATTTTAACAATAATTAATAAAAAATTGCTTTGCAAAAACAATTGGGGGTCATTATCATCTGTCTCTTTACTGAAAAAAAAAATCATTTAACATTCTCCAATTGACTAATATTTTAATGGAAAGCAAATAAATGTTCTACATAAAGAATGTGCCACATGAGTGGCACTTGTTACGACTTGGGCCTGTCGAGGTACATGATCATTGACGTAAGCAGCATCAATTGAAGCTTGAATACAATTTTATGTGTGTTTGAGGGCCATTTCTGACGGAATGTTTCTCAATAAAACGATCCTCTTGATTATATTTGCCTTTTTTTTTACTGCTTATACATTTTTACCCTTAATCTCCTTGGGATTAGATATGAGTGAAGAAATGAATTCATTTCACATAAATTTCATATTCCGCCTTTATAGTGATGCGGAAATCGATTAATGCGTATTGCATCGATTAATGCTCAAGCTAATCAACATATTCTTCTGAGTTAATGCATCTCATATAAGTCTCTGAACGAAGATAACTTAGCAGGTACATGACATAAAGCCGTAGCCTGGTCACGCACCAAGATGCAGGTCCAATGCACTGGCAAATATATGAAGATAAGCACTGCTGTCTGGGGCGCTGTGTGGACAAGCAAATGGTTAAAAGTTCCCCACGCGCACTATGAAGCCTGGCATGATAATCTCAAGAGCAAATAACCACTACGTATGTAACTTGCTTGCAGAATATTTAACCGTTCACAAAACTGTAGCCAGAAATTTATCGAACGGTGCCTTTAAACGCTAAAACGATTACTTTTTATTGCATGAACGCTGAAAATAAGATTATTCATATTATCCACTAGTGCTTGTGCGTTCAATTGGAGCTTGATTCTTATAAGTTATGAATGGAGCATGATTCTAATAATTTCAATATTATGAATATGAGGTTATACTGCAAACTCTCCTGTTTGATACCTGGTATTTGTCACGCCGATGCAGCCGCATATTTTTTTCAATTTTTCTATCAGTGTGAGAATAAAACATTGCCCTCAAAAATGCTGTACGTTCGAAACATAGCTTGCAAAAATTCCAATTGCTTTCAAATTGATGGAAAAATGTTACAGTCAGTGCTTCGCTACTATTCCTATGCAAATAAAACCATTACCAAGATCTAACCATTATCTAACTTGGTAATCATTTTCATTTTCTGCGAATTTACGAGCTATGTGTGTTTTTGCTTGGGCTAAATTTTTCTTCAAATCACAAATAATTTTTCAAGGAATTATGCATAGCAATTAAGCACCTCTACAAGTATTTCCGGTCTAATACGCACTTTGTACAATTGAATTAAAGAGGTAGGCGCGAGAACAAAGGCTTATTGTCCCGCGTGGGCCAGGGTGTGGGCGTTACCCTCGCGGCAACCCTCTACTGACTCAACAAGTCCGCGTTATTTAAAAATGAAAAACACTTTCACTTGTTTGGCTTGTTCATTCAATTTGCACTCTCTTTTACTGACTTCACTGCAGAACTGAACTGAAATTCGGTTATTCTCTGGCACGGATCATAAAAAAAATGCGAAAAGAGTTCCGAAAACGGCACAGTAAAAGGTTAAAAAATTTAGAAATTTGGGACCACGAGCACGAGCGTCCGCTCTCGACCACGGCTTAATGGAGACTGATTCTCTAGCCTAGGATTCTCTAGACTAGGATTCTCTAGCCTAGGATTCTAGGATATGAATAACTAACTTTATCATATAGGCTGCGTTCTTGCAGAAAATAGCCGTCGTGCATATTGTGCAGTGCGATAGTGGACAGTGAGACTTTATAAAAATGTACCAAAGGTCACTAATCCAATGATACCTATAGCAAAATGACTATCCAACTGGGTGGAGGAAATTCGCGTAAAATCAGCATAGACTTTTATTTTCTACGTATTTACAAACCCTGTTTTTTTGACTGGTTCAAGTTTTGTGAAACCACAAATATTTTTTTACGGAATTCTGTTTGTCAATGAAGCAGCCTTACTAAATTCCCGGTCTGAGACGAGCTTTCTACAATAAAATTACACGAAGGTTATAGTTTTCATATACTCATTTTCTCCTGACCTTTCCGACAACAACGAAGTTCAAATTCTGGTGAGCATTAAATTATGTCTTAATATTTATTTATGTTATGAATTTTTACTGATCAGCGTTGAATTGCCGTACGCCATGCGATCTCTCGCCCTTGTCCGCCTGCTCGCGCTGGGTGCGATGCTGCAGGCCAGGGCTCGCGGGTGGGCGTCTACCCTCCAGAACTACGTCATCGTGACTCACGTCTACAACACTGTGCACGTTCGCTCACAATGTAAGCCTTAATTCGTTATATAGTTTGTTCAAGCTGATTTTCCGAAATTCACATTTTGAGTGAACATAAATCATACGTTCCGTAATTATGACAGGCTTTCTGGAATCATATAAATGTGTAAATCTGAATTTGTGCTATATGATTAATCGAGCTCATATTTCACTTGGACATTAGACATTAGTAGAAAGTCGTCGAAGGGAAGAAAAGCGAAGAAACGATTCACCATGCATGGTACTTAGAACTTCTCTTCATTCATACGTTTGTCAGGACTGACTTCAAGCTAGGGTCACTTCTAGAAGTTAAAATATTACGCATACCATAAAGCCTGAATATATTCGTCGTAAATTTGTATGTGTGTTAGAAGCCTGACACCACAATTGTGCAATTTAGGGCTATTGGGGCGCTTATCCACGAAAGTTATACTGCTAAAGAGATATAATAAGTGATACTTATAATGTCGGGATACGAGGACATGAAATTTGAGTCTTTGTGTTATAATTGCGCTGCACTTCATAACTCGGAAGGAAGGTTCACTCAGAAAATCGAATTTTGTTTTTAAATTGGCATTTATAAATTTAAAATAGACGACGCAGAATAGTTATTTCCGTACATTGAACCGAGAGTCAAATGGAAGTTCTATGGAGTTTAATGTTCAATTCAAAACTTTGGTTTAAGCGAGTCATGGTCAAATCAACGTAAATTATAAACTTCATTATCATTAACGAGATTCAAGACATCGGAGTCCTAAAATTGCTGTGATTATCAAGCCCGGGTAACGTCAGGTTAACCGGCTCATTAGATATGAAAATTGTAAATTTCTATATGTCGTTGGGTCGAATTAGTTGCAGGAAACGATAAAATGTAATCGTAAATTGTAGATGTCGTCAAGATCATTTGATTGTTTTGATTGCAAATTCGCAAGGAATAAAAAACAAGGAAGATGGCACGAATATTCGTCATACCTTTATAAATAAAACAACTCTATCGTCAGTTGTTCAATCTTTGAAAGTACATTTAAACAAGATTTACATTTTCAAACTTACATTCCATATACGTAGTGTAATTATTATGGTATTACTCACCTGTCCAATCAATAAGGTGCCTGTGAAGCGCAGTGCCGTACGAACGACACCTGCACGGCCGTGACTTACGATGCCGTGAGCGACGTCTGCTTCCTCAGCAACGCAACTGGGAGCTCCTTGACGACGCGGCATCTGCTCGAGGCGGTCACCTACACCAAGTTCTGTTAGTGAAATTAGCGCATTTTCACTTAATCAGTCTTGTGATAATGGATAAATATTATCCAAAATTGGTCAACAAGCCTAATTTTATTGAATGTTTGTAATGAAGCTCTAGCGTCGACAATTATTTGAGATAACGTATATAAGCAGTGTATTGTATGTAAGGAAATCCCTCGTATCTAATCTGAGGTGAATATTCAAGGTACTTGTAAATTTGAATACCAGGAAGTCAAAAAGGTCTCATCATTTGAAGAAGAAAAGGTCTCACCATGAAAAAGTCTCATCATTTTCATGGATGTCGGGGCCGTAACATTTTCTTTATTAGCCGTTGATTCTTTGAATTCTAAATTGTCAATTATAAACTCCCTATCGAAATCCCGAGTATTACTACATTTCTAGGAAACACCGTAAAAATAAATAATCTGGTCGGTGGTACAATGTCCGGTTACAGATTGGTAAAGCATTGGAGAAGACATAATTTTTTGAATTGCGTTGCGAAAAAAAGGGAGCAATCGAATGCCTTATGCTTCGAGGTGCGTTTAAAGCCACATTTTCTATATATAGCTGTCAATAAGACTTTAATAATCATTAATGTATGATACTGAACAACATCATTTGATAAGATACTTGTCACTAGTAACTGGTCAACATTTGTGCAGCGTACGTTCCCGCCACAACCAAAATCTTCATGTCGAGCACTTGGTCAAAGAACGGAACTCGCGCCAATCAGGTGAAGATCTGCGCCGAGGAGAACGGAATCCCGCTCATCATCCGCACGACATCGGAGCTGGAAACTGCGAAGCAGCTGATTGACGGTTGGTAGAATTTTTAGGAGAGCGGAAATTTTTGTGCTGACTTTCGTTGAAAATCTAGAAAATTAGTGATGCACTTCAACGTTAAGAAACGTTCACAAAAATAATGGTGCTGTTGATAATACTGAATAACGCCACTGATCTATGTTTCTCCTGGCACATCATTAAATATTAACTTAATTATACACTAATAAGACTAAGGTATGCGAATACACACGGCCAAAAACCGTTTAATTTCTGCCAAAGACACGTTTTTCATCTATCCAAGTCCTAGAAAATTTGCTTGCCTTCAGGAGGTTTTCATATTTGCAGCTTATGGACACTTTGGAGTTTTTGGAAATTATGCATTCATGTCCGCACGCGATGAGGAAGGCAACCGCGATCTCATGTGGCCCGACGGAACCAAAGTCTTTGGTTCGGTCTTCTCACCAGCATCCATGACTGGGGGTAGCGGTCCTGCCATGGTGCTCAAGGCAAACGGACAAGTGGAGCCAAACCTTGACGAAAAAGGTGAAGAAATTCCGATTCTTTGTTCGACAAATCCTTGATTAATTCAAGGAAGGCGGAAACGTTACATTGGCGTATTAAAAAAAATAGGGAGAAGAAGTTTAAAACTTGTACTTGATCATCTATCAGCTGGTGTGTCTCGATGGTCCTCAAAAAATGATAAATCTACGCCAGTTTCGATGAGCTGAATCTCAATTCAATTAGAAAACAGATTTTAAGGAAAATAACGAAAAAAACGAACGAGCTGAGTATCCAAATTTGAAACCTAGACTCGAAACTTCCGGTAGTGGAAACCGCGTTTTCTGCTCTTTTCACTCCAAGGGGATGGATTTTTTGTCATATATACATTTTGGTCACAAACTCTTCTTGAATTCACCCAAACGCTCGCTGGGATAATGTAAAACGTGCGCTGAAGTTTTCATGGAGAACGGAAAAACGTGTGGAGAACCAAATTCTTTCTCGTCTTTGCTTCAGGCGTTCTCTCATAGGCACATTTTTTTTAGATGTCACATCAATAAATGGCGCTGAACGATCACTTGTCTTAACGATAGATGTAAAATCTGTGCGTAAATGATGTAAATTTGGTTCGTACACAGAGTAAACTTATTTAATAGCCATTAAGTAAGAATTAAATCAATTCCATAGCCATAACAGTAATAAGAATAAAATCTTGCTGTAAATGAATTATTTTCCGAGTTCAATCCTGAACTGAAATCTGTCGCGAGTATCGCAATAATTTTAGCGCGAGTAATCAATAACATTATATTATATATTATTTTACATCATATCTATCTTACCATATTATGTATGAAATATATATTATATCTTATTATAAAATTCCAATTATATCACCAGGTTCTCTTATACTCGTGTGTAACTGCACTTGCGTTTCGTCAGTCATTGTGATATGCTTACATAATGATAGACTCGAATGCTTTGAAAATATGCGTAATATTAAAAGTCCTTGCGTAGCACCAGCCTTGTTCAATGTTTAATGTTGAATAACACCTGCTTTGGTCCTACCTTGGTAAGAGGGTTTATGCTAGACTACTCTACATATGATAACATGTCTGCTAATAGACTTGATCTGCGTGCACCTAGAGTTCCATCATGTCTGCTGCACCTTCGCTAAAATATAATAAATAACATGGAAATTAGGAATTTGTGTCGCATTTCATTCTGTCGTATATTTTTGAACCAAGATTATTTTGATCAGTTTGAAAATTAGAGTTCAACATAGTCTTGTCAATGGATAGAAAGAATGTTATTCACGTATCTCGTATCGCTGCCTGCCTTATCCTTTACTTATAATTCTCTTTCCCAGCAATTTGAATGAAAAATTTTTAATTTTTGTGCTTGTTTCTTGAACTGACGCAAAATAACTGCAAAAATAGGCCTTTCTTGGAACAAAAACTCTGACCTCAAGGTCTTTATAAACAAAATTTTTGGACTAATAAGATATTCAACAGGTGAATGAGGAATAATGTAAAGCCAATAAACCATTTTTTGTGTCTGGCATTGAAGAGAATGATTCAATGTAAGATTCAGCATTCGGATGAACGGAATATTTGATATGGACAGAGTCTGGTAGGTTCACTGAATAATAATTATTTATGTATAATATGAGAAGTGTAATTACTCCAATAAAAAAAAATGTTTGGTAGTCATTCCTATGATTTGTAATTCAAATAAATGAACGGGTTATATTGTCCGAAAAGTGACACACTTTAATTGTTACCCATGCACAGCGCGAGCAGACAACGGGCCTTGCTCTAATGCGCCCATTTTGATTAAATAATATATGAAAAAATCGACGATGTTGTGCGGAGTATTCAGTTTTGGGCATCCATTTTAATATTTTAATTCAAAATATCTATTATTGCAATAATTTAGAACCTTTCTACATGCTGATGTCAATATTAATTATCAGCACATCATTAGAAAATAAATTTCTGAATTCCGTTTATTTGATGTTGCGTATGAACATCCAACGACCGTAAATCTCCTATCAAAATTGCCGCAAAATTCGGCCCAAGCTGGTGTCCGCACTGCAGCCTTAGCGCCGCCACGGCTGTCATTGTGCCTTACATGACCTTATGATAAGTACGGGACTTCCTAGTCCCGAACTTCCTGGCCTCAACAAGATAAAAATGCCCTAAGTCCTTTTAATATAGACACTAATGGCAGTAACTCCACCATTAAGGGCCACATGTATTACATGCCGGTATCCAGGCAACCGACTTCACTGCAAGTTTGACGACCCAGAGGCCGCACTTGCCAGTCAGCCTTGGCCTCGCAAGCAAGCTTATCTTGCAGCCATACCATCGAGCTGTGGCCGGAAGCTCAGAGGTAGTCGTGGTATCTATAATTCATTAATCATTTAATCATAATTCACGTTCCTGACTTGATACAATAGAGGTAAGTTAATTTCTGCATTTTATAATCTTTGTTTTCGGAGCTAATGGGCGATATTATCAGATTTCTTCCATGGGCCGGCTCAGTTTGAAGTCTTAATGCTGATTTGCGATGGTAAAATTGGATCAACTCGTGAAAATTAATCATGCGAAATGGCCCAGGTATCAACTTTAAATTACTAGAAGAATTTGTTGAAATTAAATATAATGCGTCATTGTGAGTAGCAATAAGGCTTCGGTTCAGGGCTCAGATACCGAGACGTTTTGCTTCAATGTCCTGCTTCTACCAATAAAAATGAAGTGATCGTTTTGAAATGTTCTGCCTGCTTTCAGAAATTGAAATACGCTTCACGTTAATCGATCCTACGCGTTATATCGAACCAATTCCGGGCTCGGGAGTCATGATCATGTTTTGAGATTAAATTTGGTAGTTCAATTAGTAGTGTTCCAAGGCATTTCCTTTGTGACATATTTTGAAATTTATTTCCTTGCTATAAAATCCATACGTGTGTCTTGAACAAGCATACTCTTGAAGAGCCATTCCAGAATAAACATAATAATAAGTTAAAAAATATAACTTAGTACTCACTGCTGCAGTGAGTGACAGAGAGCGCATTTTCTCGTCGACGAAAACTTGAGGTCACGGACGGACAGACGGACAGACAGACAGACAGACGGACATGGCGGGCACAAGGTTGTGGTTCCCACGGTGCAAAAACGGAGCCATGCGATCTCTCGCCCTGGTCCGCCTGCTCGCGCTGGGTGCGATGCTGCAGGCCAGGGCTCGCGGGTGGGCGTCTACCCTCCAGAACTACGTCATCGTGACTCCCGTCTACAACACTGTGCACGTTCGCTCACAATGTAAGTTTTAATTCGTTGTATAGTTTGTTCAAACTGATTTTCTGACATTCACATTTTGAGTGAACATAAATCACACGTTCCGTAATTCTGACAGGCTTTCTGGAATCATATAAATGTGTAAATCTGAATTTGTGCTATATGTTTAATCGAGCTCATATTTTCACTAAGACATTAGACATTAGTAAAAAGTCGTCGAAGGGAAGAAAAGCGAACAAACGATTCACCATGCACGGTACTTAGAACTTCTCTTCATTCATACGTTTGTCAGGACTGACTTCAAGCTAGGGTCACTTCTAGAAGTTAAAATATTACGCATACCATAAAGCCTGAATATATTCGTCGTAAATTTGTATGTGTGTTAGAAGCCTGACACCACAATTGTGCAATTTAGGGCTATTGGGGCGCTTATCCACGAAAGTTATACTGCTAAAGAGATATAATAAGTGATACTTATAATGTCGGGATACGAGGACATGAAATTTGAGTCTTTGTGTTATAATTGCGCTGCACTTCATAACTCGGAAGGAAGGTTCACTCAGAAAATCGAATTTTGTTTTTAAATTGGCATTTATAAATTTAAAATAGACGACGCAGAATAGTTATTTCCGTACATTGAACCGAGAGTCAAATGGAAGTTCTATGGAGTTTAATGTTCAATTCAAAACTTTGGTTTAAGCGAGTCATGGTCAAATCAACGTAAATTATAAACTTCATTATCATTAACGAGATTCAAGACATCGGAGTCCTAAAATTGCTGGGATTATCAAGCCCGGGTAACGTCAGGTTAACCTGCTCATTAGGTATAAAAATTGTAAATTTTTATCTGTCGTGGGGTCGAATTAATTGCAGGAAACGATAAAATTTAAGCGTAAATTGTAGATGTCAGTCAATATCATTTGATAGTTTGGATTGCAAATTCGAAAGGTATAAAAAACAAAGAAGATGACTCGAATATTCGCCATATCTTTATAAATAAAACAGCTCCATCGTCAGTTGTTCAATCCTTGAAAGTAGATTTAAACAAGATTTACATTTTCAAAATTTCATTCCATGTACGTAGTGTAATTATTATGGTATTACTCACCTGTCCAATCAATAAGGTGCCTGTGAAGCGCAGTGCCGTACGAACGACACCTGCACGGCCGTGACTTACGATGCCGTGAGCGTCGTCTGCTTCCTCAGCAACGCAACTGGGAGCTCCTTGACGACGCGGCATCTGCTCGAGGCGGTCACCTACACCAAGTTCTGTTAGTGAAATTAGCGCATTTCCACTAAATCAGTCATGTAATAATGACATTGCAATCTGCAATTTTATTCTGAATTTCGGTCTAGTTCTTAATGATGTAGTTGTTGAAAGACAGAGAGTTTGAGGTATTCAAATCATGATTGATGCACGCAAATATTATCCCGAATTGGCCAATATGACTAACTTCAATGAATGATTATATGAAGCTCTAGCGTCGAAAATTATTTGAGATAACGCATAAAAGCAGTGTATTGTATTTAAATAAATTCATCGTATCGAAATTGAAGTAAATACTCAATGTAATTGTAATTTTGAGTATCAAGAAGTCAAGATCTTTTCGTCTATATATGAAACGGTCTCTTCATTTTCATGTACGTCGGTGCCGTAACATTTTCTGTTATAGCCTTTGATTCCTTCTCTGAATCACTAAATCCACTCAGAATCACTAAATCCGAGAATTTTAGTGATAAATCACTAATTCCGAGAATGAGTAATTCTCTATTTCTAGAAACCACTATACAAATAAATGGCCGGTTACAAATTGGTAAAGTATTCGGGAGACATAATTTTTCTAATTGTGTTGCGAAACATAGGTAGCTCTATATATCGACTGCCATATGCTTCGAGGTGCATTAAAGATCACATTTTCTTTAGGCAGCTATAGCTAAAAGACTTTAATATAACAAATAATGTCTGCTACTGAATATCGTCATTTAATAAAATACATTTCACTAGTAGCTGGCTAATGTTTGTGCAGCGTACGTTCCCGCCCCAACTGACATGTTCCTGGCGAGCACTTGGTCGAAGAACGGAACTCGCGCCAATCAGGTGAAGATCTGCGCCGAGGAGAACGGAATCCCGCTCATCATCAGCACGACATCGGAGCTGGAAACTGCGATGCAGCTAATTAATGGTACGTAGAATTTTTAGGAGTCCTCATAAGTTTTTTTGAGTTTCGTTAAAAATATAGAAAAGTAGTGATGCACTCCAACATTACCAAGCGTTCACAAAAAAACTGGTATTGTTGAAAAAAAATTCTCATTCATCCATATTTTTCATTGTACATCATTGGATATTTAC